GGTACCACTCTGGCGGGAAGGTAAATGGCGTTTCTGTGAGCTACTCTGGTTCACCAGAAGCGGCTTAGTCATGCTGGCCACATGACCCGGAAGCTGTATGCTGGCTCCCTCGGCCAATAAAGCGAGATGAGCGCCGCAACCCCAGAGTCGGTCACTGTTTTTATACTGATTAAGAACCACTGCACTGGTTCCATGCAGGAAGCTGATTCATCCTCTGGGTGCATTCAGACATGGGGATTATTGTGCTAGGTTTCCTAGCTGTGATGCAAGCTCTTCCATTCTGTTTCTAACATTCCTTTTGCAATGCATCACCTGTTGCATTATGGAACTTTGGCTTTTTGATTGATACACCACCATGCCATGCTAAGGTTGCAAATGTATTTTCTTCTGGAAGCAATTAACATGGAAATGAGCACTAAGATTGGGCTGGATTCCACTCGGTTTCTAGAAGTGGCTTTTGCATTGTGTGAAAGATCACATAAAGCACAAGTAAGGAAACATGGGGGAAATGGAATAAAGTGCTATCGGAATGCAGCCAAAGTCAGGTTGCAGGTCCATTTGGCTCATTAGTGTCTGCACTAACTGGCAGCAGCTGTGCAGGTTTTCAGAGAGGAGCTTTTTCCTACCTAGAGATGCCAGAGACTGAACCCAGCACCTTGTGCAGCTAAACATGTGTTCCATCACTGAGCCACAGCTCTGTTCATGATACTTTAGTAGGAATATCCTGTTTTATACTTTGCAGGAGACATTTCATTGATTTTCATGAAATGGTCTACAAACATCATAGCAGATGCAAATTGCAGGTCTAAGGACTTGAAGTGGAGATAGGCAGAAATTCGTCTCTACAAACAAACGGGATGAAATGTAAACATTTGAAAACCCCCCTTTTTTGCATTCACTGGCAGGTATGTGTGTCTGTGTAAGGTCTTGCATTCTTTTGATTATGCATGTGTGTTTTCTATAAAAATCAATTGCACTTTAATAAAAAGTAATTACTTCTCAGGCCTCCTTTTAAACATCTTGACCTTGTTTTCTCATTTTGTTAAGATGAAATGTCTTGCATTGTCATGCTGCACATTAAACACTTTCAAAACTGCTAATGATTAAGCCTTTACAAACACACATCTGTAAATCTGTTATTCTAATTTCAGTTTTCATTACCAGCTACAAATGTTAAATGTTTCCATGGTTGTTGATGGAATGCATCTTGTAGAGCAAGCAGTGTTTACACATATGTTTCCTATACTGTTCCTAACCATAAAATAAAACACAGGTTACAGCTAGTAAAATATTATTATAACGTTCTCTTTGCTGTTTGTGAACTCGGCCCTGGAAATCTTTCTTAATGAGTGCAACGCTGACTATCAAATTTAGCTCATTCAAGTTAAAGGGCCTGCAATTGCCAGTAAACACTATATGTGGTAAGGCTCAGTTCCTGCTAAATATACCAGGCCTAGCCAATCCAGAAGCTTCAACAGTACTGTTCTCCAATCTCAAGTGTTGATCTTCTACACCTCTAACATTTCCTCTAAATGCAAACTCAAGTGGCTGAGTTTGGTCAGTAAACAACAACAGGGAGATATAAGTATGTACGTGGGAATCCCAAGTTTTGCAGTCCTTAGGGGACAAAAACACAGTGCAATGAGAATTGAGGATTCTCCATAGCTATGGAATGTTGAGCATTAGAAAGGTAAAGGGACCCCTGACCATTAGGTCCAGTCGTGACCGACTCTGGGGTTGTGGCGCTCATCTCACTTTATTGGTCGAGGGAGCCGGCGTACAGCTTCTGGGTCATGTGGCCAGCATGACTAAGCCACTTCTGGAGAACCAGAGCAGCGCATGGAAACACCGTTTACCTTCCCGCCGGAGCGGTACCTATTTATCTACTTGAACTTTGACGTGCTTTTGAACTGCTACATTGGCAGGAGCAGGGACCGAGCAACGGGAGCTCACCCCGTCAGGGGGATTTGAGCTGCCGACCTTCTGATCAGCAAGTCCTAGGCTCTGTGGTTAACTTTGGGGTGTGGAATGGAAAGGCTCGCTGGAGAAGGACATGGCTGGCTTACTAGGAAGTGCAATAAGACTGGCGTCAGCAGTTGTTACTTCCAGGAGGCTGGAGAAGAGATTTACTGTCACTGCTGTCAGCCTCCTCTGGAGTAAGGATGTGGGTGCAGGCTCAAAGTCATCTATCCCTCCCCTCTGAATCATATTTAAGCCAGACTCCTTAGGGTGCCGCAAAACCAGTACCAGGAACTATATTGATGGTGAACTCTTGTTTTGTGATGTATTTTTGTACGTTAGGCTAGATTGGCGGGTTTTGGTTTTTCTTTTTGTAATATTGAATTTATTCTGTGCTTGCTAATCAGTTTTTACCATTTCTGTGTTCATTGGCATGTTGTGTATTTTGCATGTTTGTATTTTCGATGTTTTGAATGTTGAGCTGAAACACATCGCAACGTTTGGTTGAATTCTTTTGTATTATGTGCCTGGGCAAATACAGCCAACGCGGATTATAACGGTTTGGATTGGATGAAACTCCCGGATAAAAGTATTACCAAAGTTGCAATGAGCTCGATGAAGTTGTTAGGAAGTCTTGGACTAACATGACAGAAAGGCATTCCAGCCTTGTGAAAACTGTGGCAGCCCTTGTTCCAATACCCAGTCCATTTTGTTTGCTTTTCTTGAAACATTTACAACCTGAGGCTTCCCATCACGATGGAATTGATATGACTTGATTTTGGTTTTGATGTTAGATTGTGACCTGCTGTGACCCTCCTGTTGTTGTTTGTCGTTATTTTGCTAGTATTTGCAGATGAGAAAAAAGAAAGCTTGTGTCTGGTTCCAGTGAGATGTTGTACAGATAATGTGTCAAAACAGCAGTCAACCTGACAGTCTGCCATCCACTATCCCCCTCCCCCTTTGCCAATATGTAATTCATTTTCTACAGCCAAAGATTTGGAAGAAATACAAGTATTTAAAAGACATAAATAAATCAGAATTAATGATAGCATCAACAAAATTTTTGTTGCAGCTGTTTGTTTAACAGAACACAGGTTTCCCCCTCTGTGGTCTACTGTATCTCATTGCTTTATATATTTTGTTTACACAACCACTGACTTCTGTATATTTCACCCCCATAACCCCCAAGGCATAGAAATATCAGGTAGGCAGTAAATGGAGTTCAGTCTGGCAATCTATAAACCTATGAGAGTATCTATGTACACCACAGCTGGAATTATAGCATACTGTGTGAGTTACACTGCGTTCAATGGGACTTACATTTTTAGAAAATTAGTGAGGTCCTCATGAAAATCTTAAAATGGATTTCCCCCAACACACAAATTTTTGTATGCAATTTTACCTAGTATAATAAAGTTTTTAAATTAATGTAAAAACCAAAGGTACAAACAAACAAGGGGAAGAAAACCAAAGTTACCAAACACAGGAGCAATAGATTGTATTTTCCAAATAACAAGAGAGCAGATAATGTAGAAAAACAAAAGGCAGGGAAACACATCATGAAAGCCAGAATTTCATGATTTGGTGGAGGAAGAGTTTTGTGTATCAGAATTTGACACATAAAAAAACAACAACACACTGCCAATTGGCAGCAGTCTCACCTGCCTCATATTCAAGGCAAAGCCAGTCAAGCCATGAGGCAGGTGAGATTGCTGCTTCAGGTGGGAAAAGCCCCACTTCCATGGGTGTCCTGCCGACTCTGCCGGGGTGGACTGATTTGGGGAAAGACTGCGCCCAATTTGGGCAAGATTTCAACCAAGATCTTGTGCAGTGTTGCAGGTAAAGATGTGACTCCTAGCTGAAAGCAGAGCTCACAGGAACCACTGATTCATTGATCATGGGCATTTTAAAAGTCCTGTGCCTTTGCAAGCAGCAACAACCGGCTGATCATTGACACTTGCAAAGCCTTTGGCTGCTGGCAGGGATGCCACCAAGCTTCCTTGCTTTAAGTGCAGCATTTTATAGTTTGGAATCTTATAGCAAAATACCACAACAAACAAAAAGTTTGCTAACCCTGATAAATAACACCGAGCAAAAATAAAATACAATACTCTAGTTATGTGCAGTTTCACAACTTTGGTGCTCTGAGTCTAGCCCTACCTCACAAGGCTGCTGTGAAAATAAAAAGGTGAAGGGGAAGACAATGTACACTGCTTAGAGCTCCTGGGAGGAAAATCAAGATACAGTCAGTGCTTTTTTTCCGAGGGAACACAAGGGATTACCTGCACCTCTTTTTTTGTTCTTAAAAAGTGTGGCACTTACTGTAACAACTTCATGGTGAGTACTGGCACCTATTTTTCTAGGGGGGGGGGAAGCACTAGATACAATTATACAACAAGAAGAAGCAAAACACACAAACACACACATTTTGCCAACCTTGATAAACTATAACAAAAACAACAAATCTCTGTGTTAAAGTGCAGCTCATAGGAATTTTAACTTGCTCCAGCTGTAAGGCGTCTTAATTATTTTATGGTTGCATTTGCCAATTCATTAGGTATATGAATACATAATGGTTGCTGTGTATTATTAAATAACAAGGAGACCAGTAGTGGCTGTGGGGCTGGCATGGAGAATTGGGGAGCGATAAATCAACTACAGCATTAGTTGATTAATTTATGGATTAAACCAATTAAGAGGGTTGCAGCCCCCTCTTTTTTTAGCCTTCTTCTCAGTGTAAGGTGGTATGTGTTGTGTCTGGTTGGCCCAGAAACAGCAGTCTAAGGAAGGCAGTTCTATTCTCTTTTGTTAGGATGATGTGTATTCCTGGGGGATAGACATGCTTTTGGTGTTTGGAGTCTTCACTTGTAATTCGGTTGGGGGGTGGGCTGGGGAGGGGAGGAGAGAGGAAATCCCTCCCCACCTCCGAATTGCTTGCTTTGTTGGAATATCTCTGGAGCCGGTTAGCTTGTTGCTTAGCAAAAGTTCCCATTGTTACACACATGATTCCAATAATAGCTATTTATTTTCAAACTGGGGCCCTCCTCTGTGGGTAAGATTCTCGTGAGCCCTTTCAAAGAAGCACTGAAAACATTTAAACTTCTAACATTATTTAATCTTTAATAGACTCTTAATTGGATTTTAATAGCCTACTGGAAGCAAAAAATCTCTTGTTGGTTTGCACTGGTATGTATTCATGAGTTCTGACAAGCGAGAGACTATTAAAGGGAGGGAAAAACCTGAGTCTCTTATGGCATATATGGCACATAAACGTAAGGGAAACAGGATAGAAACGAGTTAACGGAGAACATTCAACATGGTATAGCTAAATGCCTAATCAAGAGTCCTTGTGATTGTGTTGGTAATAGTCATTTTCCCCTCTTAATGTTACCAATGAAACAATATAAAGTGTTGGTATATTGACGAACGTGTTGGTAGGGAGGTTTCAAAGCAGCCCCAGGGCCATGTTGAAGAGGTTTAGGCCTTGTGTTAATGTTACAGATTTTAATCACTCCTGCAGTAAAGACAACCTGTCGGACTTGCTTAAAGGTTAGTTCCCTCATCAACCAAAGTCAATAAGCCCTTCTTTTTAAATTAATTACTATTAATTAATTACTATCTCAAACAGTTTATTGGCATTGATTTGTCCCTTTTTATACACTTGTGTTAAAGTGCTTTCTGCTCTCTATTCTTGTTATTTTTATTTTTACCTCGGCTAGAGGCTGGTCAGAGAACAATGTTAGTTTTTAGGATGAGGCTCTTTATTGCTGCTTTCCCCTTATATGCCACTTGCATTAATATTTTTCATGACTGGTAGACAAATGGACAAAAAACACCCCTTTCGGAAAGCTATCTAGGCAACTCTTTTGCTTCCATATCTGTGGTTCAACTTTTTAACGGATTTCAAACTTTGGAATTGGATAGAGAGCCAGTTCTACATGGCGTTGCAGTCAAGAGGCATCCTTCCATCCTCTTCTGCCATTTGAGGCCCAGGTGGCATCAGGGATGACTTTGCCTAGCAATAGCAGGCTCACCAACTATGGGCGTTCTTGGACCAAGATAGCTTGGTCACAGTGATCTCTGTTTTGGTAACTTCCCAGTTGGATTACTGGAACCTACTCCATATGAGCTCTCCATGAAGGTAGTCTGAAAGCCACAATTAGAGCAGAACGGGGCTGCCAGGATGTTACCAGCTGCAATTTTAAGGTGCTTAAATTTAAGGTGTTTGTGTCAATTTTTCAAGCTTTAAATGACTTGAGATAGACTATCCGAAGAAATGCCTCTCCCTGTTTCAGCCTGTCCACACTCTTAGATGTGGAAGGGAGGTCCTCCTCATTGTTCCACCACGGGGTCTTTTTTGTGTTGGGCCTTTTTTTTTGGAGTCGTTCCTGGCCTGTGGAACGCCCTTCCCTATGGGCACTCCTGGCATCAATGCACCTGCTGTTTCAGTGCCATGGGGAAATCTGCCTGTTTACTTAGGTTTTCGGGGGCTGCTGCATGTGGGGAATTCAGGTGGTTCCCTTGGTGTTTATAAGAAAATGTGATGTTTTTATAAGCTGGTTTAGTGTGGTTTTGTTGTGTTGCAATCTACCTGGGCTCATACAACAGGCGATAGTTCAGACATTCTCTTGTAAATAAGAATAAATGTGTAGGTTGAACCTGAGCTAAATTTTGGCGCTCTTTAGTGCTAAAGATCCACTGATTATTCTGCTGGCATATATATATAATGTGTGTTTGTGTGTGTGTTGTTTAAGTGATTTATTTTCCCTGCTGCCTGAATGGTGTTTGTTTTCATAGACAATTTAGACAGAAAAAAAAGGAGCTGGGCAAATCACATAAGAACACTGCTGTTAAATAATTAATCAGAGCAGGAAAATTCCAGTATTAATACACTTTTTATGTCAAAGAAGCTAAAAAATATATGATACTGGGAGGATTGTCTTGCACTCTCTCTTTTGTGGCCTCTGGTTTTGTTCTGTTAATACTGCCATAGATCTCTTTTTGACTCACTTTTTCACCGTTATTGCTGGTGTAACATATCTGGGCTGTTTTGCTTCTCAGTCCTTTGTGATTATATTAGGGAGGACCCTTCTCAAACCCACCTGAAACAAAAAGGGAGTAATTATGCTTGGAGTGCTGAAGATGTTCCAGGTGAGTAATATTTGGAGAAGATGTCAGCAACTTCACTTCACCCACCAGGGCACAGCCATCTCTCTCTCTCTAGGGTGGGGCTGAGGCTGAACAGCAGTGCTGCCCTAACAATTGAGAAATGGAGATGGAGGTGGTATGAATGAGTCACACAGAAGCCATAAACCCACCTGTTCCCCTGATAAAACTTTCTCTACGCGGGGCTGCCTTTGAAGCTGAAACTCCAGCAGGTGCAGAATGCCGCGGCGAGGCTCCTTACGGGGTCCTTGCCGCGGGATCACATTCATCCAGTGCTTTACCAGCTGCACTGGCTCCCGGTAGAGTACAGGGTCAGGTTTAAGGTGCTGGTTTTGACCTTTAAAACCCTATGCGGCTTAGGACCCATGTACCTACGGGACCGCCTCTCCTGGTATGCCCCGCGGAGGACCTTAAGGTCCACAAATGACAACATTTAGGAGGTCCCAAGTCGCAAGGTGGTTAGATTGGTCTCAACTAGGGCCAGGGCCTTTTCAGTACTGACCCCGACTTGGTGGAATGCTCTGTCACAAGAGACTAGGGTCCTGAGGGACTTGACATCTTTCCACAGGGCCTGCAAGGCAGAGCTGTTCTGCCTGGCCTTTGGTTTGGACGCAGTCTGACCCTTATGTTTTCCCTCCCCTATGGTTTTGATCTATGGGCTACTTTTAAAATGAGGCTGCATTTTAAATTGCATTTTAACCTGTATTTTAAATTGTTCCCCCCATTATGTTTTGACTGTAATTTTACTGGTGTTAGCTGCCCTGAGCCCGGCTCTGGCCAGGGAGTGTGGGGTATAAATAAAATTTATTATTATTATTAAAACAGAGGATCCCCTGGAGCCAGTCGTGAGGATCCTCTTGAGCTCCACCTCCTCCACAGGTCAAGGGAGAGATGATAATAATAATAATAATAATAATAATAATAATAATAATAATAATTTATTATTTATACCCCGCCCATCTGGCTAGGCTTCCCCAGCCACTCTGGGCGGCTTCCAAAAAATATTAAAAAACTGTAATACATCAAACAATGGCATATGCTGTTTTTGCAGCACTAAAGTGACATCACGGGGGCATAATAATAATAATAATAATAATAGAGACCTTGGGTGTGCTTGCCAGCCTACTCCTTCCATCATGTTCATGATGGCTTGGCTCTGTCAACCTTCATGTGTCAGAGACTAAATGTTTCTGGCAAGGAGCCACCTCTGATCTTGAAGGCTTTCTTCACTGTGTGGAACCCTGTGTTATCAAGGTTCTAAACTGAATGAGAAGCCTCGATTGATAGATCTGGCTCTCTCCTGCAGAGCTGGCAAGGGCACCTTCACCCCCCTCCCATCATGCAATGGGCAATGCCCATTGAAGTGAGGTCTGAATAGCGCTTGTGGCTCAAGGTGCCATGCTCAAGGTGCTCTGACAAAAGTGATTTATGAAGAATCCTACAACTAGGGATAGGGGAGAAATTTGATTCAGTTTGCATTCGAAGGCGAACTCGCCTAACTTGCACTGCCCCAAACAAGAAACACAGGTGTCCTTTGAAATTCGTGCCGATCTGAATTTTGCAGTTGCTGTTCTGCAGCCAAGTGAGGTATACAAAATTGCTTGCACCAGGGTAAAGCGTGCATAAGTGAACAGCATGCAAACATGCATCCTAGGAGGGAAAAACAAAAATGCAAAAGGTAAAAATGCATACAAATATGTGCAGGTGAATTTCCCTCTTTAAAGATAATGATAATGATAATGATAATAATAATAATAATTGTAAACTGAGGTGGAAATGTGGTGAACAAAACTAAAGCTTGGAAAAATGAGAAACTGAGCCAAACTGAAATGGACAGATTTGCCCATCCCTTCACCAGACTTTTCTATTTTCTGCAACTTAACAGTGTTGCCCACTGGGAGAGCCAGTGTGGTGTAGTGGTTAAGAGCGGTAGTCTCATAATCTGGGGAACCGGGTTCGCGTCTCCGCTCCTCCACATGCAGCTGCTGGGTGACCCTGGGCTAGTCACACTTCTCTGAAGTCTCTCAGCCCCACTCACCTCACAGAGTGTTTGTTGTGGGGGAGGAAGGGAAAGGAGAATGTTAGCCGCTTTGAGACTCCTGAAGGGGAGTGAAAGGCGGGATATCAAATCCAAACCCTTCTTCTTCTTCTTCTACTTTCCTCCTCAGTAGTTCACACTGCCAAATTCAACCCTCAAACTACTGCCACTTTTCAAGCACTGCCCTCCTTGAGAAGCCTAACGTTTTTGTCTGAAGAGCATATGCATCTCTTGAGGATTTATCCTGCTGCTTAGAAGTTCTTCAGTGATTCTCATCTCCTTTTTAAGGAGTGCCAGTGCCCATAATCAACACACTAAGGGACAGTTTGTACAAGATCACACAATATTGTTTTTTGAAGAAAAGAGCAGGAAACTTATGATGAATCCACATCCTAGTGAGATAGATTAGGGAGGGTTGTTGTCTTACTTTACTGAAATGTCAACAGCTTTCTGCTCTTAAAACTCTTGCTGATTTTATCTGTTTCATGCTTTTAGTGTTTGTTGTTACATCATTTGAGCATCAAAGTATTTTTTTTTATTGCTCATTGCCAACACTATTGAAAATGCTTCTGCACATTACCTGCTTGTGAGGGGAACAGATTAAGGGGGAAAACACAGTCTTTTAATCATCCAGAAGTGCCATGAGAAAGGTTTTTCCTAATAAATAGCCTAAACCAACCTCTTTGTAGTTTAAAATAACCCCTTCACGAATTTATCTAAAGTCTAGCTGCAAAAGTTCTGAGCAACTACACAAGCTCCTATTCTTGGTGGATAAAGGTGGACAATTACTTCCCATCCTGTATCTGATGTCCTCTTAAATATTTGAAGTCTATTTCTGCTATTGGGTAATAGATTAATAGAATCTCATCTGCTGTATTTATATTCTTCTTTTCTATCCAAACAGGCTCAAAGCAGATTACAATTTTATCTCCTTGAATACCTCCAGGATAGAATGCCTTTTCTTTAAGGTTTAACACGCATAGAGATGTTCTCCCCGAGAGCGACAAATGTTTAACCTTAAGTACTTTGAAATCTAGTCTTGGGAATATTCAGATGAAAATCTTCATGGAGCTGAAGATCCTCTTAGAAGGGTATTGAAAGAAGCTGTGTGGACACTTGTCTCCTAGATCCTTGATGATTCCTTTTAGTATTCTGTCTATGCATTGCAGGGCAAAGAAAGCAGAATGCATTCTTGTCTTCCAAATTACTTTTTTTTCTTTAAGGAAGAGTTCTGTTTTTGTTGCTACATTTCATTTAAATGCAGTGACCACAACTGGTGACTTTAAAAGCCTCGGTAGTTTAGCTTAGGATAATAGCAAACAAACAGAAGAATCCAAGATGGAAGGTTTGTACTGAGAGAAAAGAGAGAAAACATTTTCCCTCATGAGCTTCACTAAGCACAAAGTGAATCACGGGGCTCGGTTACACAGACTACATGCAAAATGCTCAGCTGTATTAGGCGACCATTGTGAATAATCCATAAGTGGAAATAAACATATGCATTTAATTAGGAGCATACAGATGAATGTTAGAAGACTGGCATGAAATAAAGCTAACTGGAATGTCTGTGCTGATCAGTGCTTCTTTGAGCCAAAGCATATGTATTTTGTTGCTCTACGATGCTCATTCAACGCCGGTGGTTTATTTCAGAGCTAATAGTTGATACTTTGGAGGTTTCCCAGGTCTGTGGGTCAGTCTTTTGAGTCAACTCTATAACAGCTGCAGATAGACACCACTGCAAAGTCAGCATTCCCGGCCTGTGATCCAACAGGGCTGCTCCAGAGGTAGAGTGTTGTATTGGTTGGCAACCTAAAACCTTCCAAGTCTACAGACTACATAAAAGCAAGAGAGAGCAAGGAAGAGTGTTTGTTAATCTCTGTGCCCCCTAAGAAGCAATATTCCATGGAGGGCACCTGTCAAAAACTAAACTAAACCAAACTAAACCAAACTAAACTAAACTAAACTAAACTAAACTAAACTTTTCAGATTGCCAGATAAAAGGGGCAAGACACAGAATTCCAATAGGAATGGAGGGTGGCAGAATTTGTGTGAAAAATTTGCCCACAAATTTGCCCCTATCCTCTGTTTTGACATTACCTTGTTCTGATCACATTGCCAAGTTTCTTACTGTCGTGACATGGATGCTTGCAAGATGGTTGTAGATGCATGCCAGAGTCTCTTCTCTGGACTGAGGCCTCTAAGCAGGAAATCAGGCCACACTATTGCAATGTTTACAAACCCCAGTGAATAAAAAAGAAAGAAAGAAATCACAATGTGACTTGAGGACATCCTCATGTTTCTTATTTGGATTTACAGCAGGGGTGATTGACACTCACAGAGGCGCCATCTTCTGAAGCACATTGAGGGGGCCCTGATGTCACTCTGCACCTGACTCCAACCACGGGGGTCCACGGTGGCTCGGCCCCCTGGAGCCAGCGCCTATAGCATGTCATGATCAGGAGTGCATTTTAAGGCTCCCAGTTCCTTTGTGGCGGTGTCTTCACCTGCTCCCGCCTGACGTTACATATGATATCAGGTGTAGGGCAGGTGGGCACATTTTTTGGAGAAAACAGTCCAAAACAGTTGTGTGTGAGACAAATTAGGAGTCCTGCCCGGCCAAATTAGGTCCATGGTCTTGGAGTTCTCTACTGTTGATTTACAGAAAGATCAGTTCAGTTCAAAATCAATACAATTATCTATTCTTTCCCCTAGCTTAAAAGATTTTGATCAGATTCTCCTTCAAGTACAGCTAAGGTACATTATACTAGATTTTTTTTTTTTGGGGGGGGAGGGAAATACACACACAAAGAAACAAAACTCCTCCCCCTGCCCATCCATTTGCATTCAAAGGTTTCCCTTTTGGAAACCTGTCATTATGTGAGAGGGGATTTCTACTTTGATCTTTTTCTTTGGGGGCTCGGACGGCAAAACGATGAACATCCGGTGGGTTGCATTTTACGAACTGTGTGATCCTGCAGCACGGTACATATATAGATATATATCAGTTTGTCCCTTGATGAATTTATTAAAATACAATGGTGCAGAAGGAAATGGAATTCCAATGCGCTGCTGTTGTCCTAAGAAATCATTATCATGAGACAGAATTAGAAGCCTGGATGGGAGTTAATGGGTCTCCCAGGCTGTCCAGCCATCATTATGTTACTGTGCAAGAGGCATCAACCGCTTTAAGTCCCATTAGTGTGTTGATGAGCTGTCTGGAACAGGATGCTTGTATCTGAACAAGCAGTTTACTCTAACTGCATTGCATTAACCCCTTGCTGCTGGGTGCCCCTGAGTGCTTTATACATCAGGTTTAGTGTGATAGCGTGAAAGCTTCCTGCTTCTCTTCCAGTGATGTCGGTTCATTTCTTTGTGGTTGTTTCTATAAAGGTGGCTGCAATAACGGAGTATTTTGCCACCGAAAGAGAAATCCTGATGGCGTATGAATTAATTCCTGCATTCACCTAGCTTTCCGTCGGGAGAACGGAACAACTGGAAGAAGATAGCTTTTTCGACATCTTCATATGCTTTCTGATGAGATCATACAGTACAAACGCCTTGTCATTTCCTTTAAAGCTCTCCGCGGCCCCTCTGCCTTTTATTCCTCTGCCCCCACATCCTGATATATCCCTTCCCATGACCTTGCATTCCCTAGCTCTTCCACAACACAATGACTTATTATTCTGTCCATCATGAGTACACCTCCCTTTCTGTACATGGAATTCCCTTCCAGAAAAGGTATGTTGGTGTGGCGTTTGCCCACTCATTATGGGGACGTCGTACTGGGGGAGAGAGAGAAAGGGTTAATAGGCTGACCAATAAGAAAGCGCAGGGACGGAGCCTAACTGTGTTTAAGGCTCAACACAGGGGTTTTGGCAGTTAGTTTGGTTGGTTTCTTGTGGGTGGGAGGCATAGGAGTCAGAGTGAGTTAGAGACCGAGAGAGTGAATCAATTACAGTGTTTCAAAGTATTTAAAACTTGTTTGCGTTTTTATCATATGTGGTGGGAATGTAGAGAAATTAAATCTTTTTGGGAAATGATATATAATGAATTGAAGAAAATGTTTAAAATGACATTTGTTAAAAAAAACCAGAAGCATTTTTGTTAGGGATTGTAGGACAAGACCTGCCAAGGAAAATAAAGAATTTATTTATGTATGCTACAACAGCGGCAAGAATCTTGATAGCCCAAGGATTGAAGAATGATGAAACCCCAACAAAAGAACAGTGACAAGAAAAATTGATGAACTGTGCAGAACTGGCTAAACTGACATACAAACTGCGAGATAAGGACAACTGTGATTTCAAAGAAGAATGGGAACTTTTTACAAACTATCTAAAAGGACAACAAAATGAACTGGACTCCTTGGCAGGTTTTGAATAAGCATACACAAATTTATTGATGGTTAATATAGTAGGTAGATAATATAAGGATTTATACATTTTTACAGTATGCAGAGAACAATATATGTTGAGAAATCAGAGAGAGGAGCTGAGGGAAGTCTTGGGGGGAGGGAGGGAGGGTTCGTTGGGGAGGTGGGGGGAGGGGAAAAATAATGAATATGATATGTTTTGATATTTTGTTATGTTGAAATTGTTAATAAAAAGGTTTTTTTTAAAAAAACTTGTTTGTGTTCACAATAAACTGGAATTGTTGTTAATACATTACAACCTGACTGAGTCTGAATATATTACCGGGGAAACCTGGTTGCGGGCAGTGGAAGAGATAAGCCGTAGTGGTGCAGGGTCAATAGTCCGTGGAACCACCGGGGGCTCTGTGCGAACGCCACAGTTGGTTTATGTAGTAGATTTATATCAGCTAGAGATACACCAAGAACCACATGCTCACACAACAACCATCCCCATAGAAGCAGGAGCCAGCGCCAGATGTTCCTTCCTACACGGCATAGGGCATCAGCTGGCACTGTGGGGTGGGATAGCCTCACTGGAACAGGCCCTGATCTTGCCTTGGCTTCCCTCCCTGATCTCTTCTTCCTTCCCACAAGGCACTTGGTGCCCTTTGGCCCTGTGGGGGTTGAGCAAGGGACACTCTGGCGGCGATGGTCTTGATGTTGTATTTGCCTGTATCCCTCACTCCTTTCTGCCTTCTCACAGGGCAGCTGACATCCATCGGAATAGGGGTCGGGACAGTCTGACTGGAGCTAATTCTTCCTCGCCCTTCAAGTCCCTCCCCAAATAGATTTTCCACATTTTCCTGCTCTGGAGGGTAGGGCTCAAACCAATGGCTTCAAGTTGCAAGAAAGGAGATTCTGACTAAACATCGTGAAGATCTTTCTGACAATAAGAGCTGTTCAACAGTGGAACAGCCTCCCATGAGAGGTGGTGGACTCTCTTTCCTTGGAGGTTTTTAAGCAGAGATTGGATGGTCATCTGCCACAAATGCTTTAGCTGAGATTCCTGCAGTGCAGGGGGTTGGACTAGATGACCCTCGGGTCCCTTCCAACTCTACTATTTTATTATTCTATGTCCTTTGATTCATAGCTGTAACCGGGTTTTTAAGTTTTGCAGTGGCATTTTGCCCACACCCATCTTTCCTTAGTCTCCCATGCCCCACTCCTTTGTCATTTCCTGAGGGTTTAGTTCAGAAGGTTTGCTTAGCATTGTGCGAGGTACAGTTGCAACACTGTAAAGAGAATGCAATCACTGCTATTTGGGTCTACAAAGGGATATTCATTTTGCAGTTAGCCAAAGAATATGGGTCTCATCACAGCAACCAACCCTTTCACAATAGCAATATAATTAAATATAATTGTTTCATGAACTATACTGTCATACCTCGAGTTACAGACGCTTCAGGTTGTGTTTTTTTGGGTTACGGACCCGCTGAAACCCGGAAGTACCGGAACGGGTTACTTCCGGGTTTCAGGGGTCGCGCGTGTGCAGATGCGCCAAATCGCAACCCACGTGTGTGCAGACGTGCCACTGTGGGTTGCGAACACTGCGGGTTGCGAATGTGCATTCCACATGGTTCACGTTCGCAACCCGAGCGTCCACTGTATATATATCACCCACCTTCCAATAGTCACAAGGTGAGTGCTGTTAATGACATAGTCAAAATGGCACAACACAAATACACAGTGTAGGTTTTAGTGGGTCTGGGGGAATGTTGAAGTTTTCAGAAAGAGAGGCAAATGAATTTGAGGGCCGGCAGGTGCATGGAAAACTGGGGAGGAGGAATGCAATGGAGTGGTTGAAACCCTGAACACAGGCTCTCCCCACTAAGCATTCTGCCACAGGGCTCTCTCTCTCTGTGTGTGTCTGTATGCATGTATACATTTTAGCAAAAACTCTCTTAAAGCAGGTTCTTAATTTCAAGGAGGCACTCAAGCCCCTTCTTGAGCATGGCCAAGATGTGCTTATGTTGCTCCCAGAGACATGTGGCTGGCAAAGCTAAGTACTGCAGGGAAATGCTTCAGATGTTTAATGGAACCTGACAGCGCACTCAGCAAAAATAAAATAAAATACTATTTTTCCGTTGCATGACAGCTGATATCTATCAGTCAG